CGAGCTGCAGCATGGCGCTCTGGCTGGCGGCGCGCCGCGCGCCGGGCCGCCGCTGCTCATCGAAGGCCAGCGCCTGCACCTCGTCGCGGTTGCGCACCAGCATCACCGACAGGCTCTTGTGCGGGGCCTTGCCCGCCGTGAAGGAGAAGAAGTAGGCGCCCGGGACGCGGCAGCGGAACTGGCCCCGGGCCGCGTCGAAGTCGCCACCGATGTTCACGTACACCTTGTCGAAGGTCACGGCCATCTCCGACGTGCCCTCCAAGGGAGTGGTGCGCGCCGCCGAGAAGGCTGAGCGCAGTTCAGAGGAGCCGGCCGCCGGGCCCAGAGCCCAGGAGGCAGCCGGGCCCAGCAGCACCAGCAGGAGCGGCAGCATGATGCCTGGGAGGCAGAGGAGCTGCAAGAGAAGGGATGAGATCAGACACACACAACCGGCTGCACCCCTGCGCTTTCCCAAATACTTGGACTACATCTGCGGTGCTCAAACTTCAGCCTATGGCACAGTGACTTCGAGGCCTACTGGCTCCTACCCCGAGATCTTTGCTTTAGTAGAGCCCAGGTGGCATAATGGTTAAGCATTGGGCTGTGATCTGCAAGGGCAACAGTTCAAAGCCAGTGGGTGCTCCCCATGAGAAAGATAGGGCTTTTTACTTCTGTAAAGAATTACATTTCAAAAAAAAAAAAAAAAAGAATTACATTTCGGCCCTGCCCTATACAATTCCCATTAGTCCGAACCGACTCAATGGTAGTGAGGTTGGGGTTTTGAAGTCCAGTGGGGCCTGAGAATTTGCATTTCTAGTACTTCCTGGACCAAGGACCACACTTTGAGAACCACTGGATTAGGCCACTCACTCTTCAACCTTTTTTTGGTGGGGTGGGGGGACGGGGCGGGTAAGTACTAGACCCTCAAATAGAAGCTTGCACACATCCACCACGGATAAGAGCAGAAAGGTCTGGTTTGAAGGGACCTACAGTAGCCCTGTCTACTGGGCTCACCCCCTGGGTGCCCAGGGACACAGGAGGTATTTGGGGGGAGGTGGCCATGAGTTTCTCTCAGCCTTCATTTTGTGGCATTTGAGTGTGGCTATTCCAAGGTCTTGGCCTGCCCCTCAGACACTGGCTTACAGTCTTCATGTCCTCTGTGATGACTGCCCTCCAGGTGGGAACAGAATTCACTGCCCCCTGTCCTGGCCTCTGATTCATTCAAGGGTCAGCTCCCACACTGAACCTCTGGCCTCCCTAGAAACCCTTCCTGCCCTGAGCAGGCCAACAGCTGGTCTTTGAGGTAGCGTTCCCCTCCCAGTGCCCCCTCCCCCCCCCTCACCTAATAGAATCAGAGGAGACAAGAAAGCATTTTGTCTCTCTGGTTACAGAGGAGTTGCTGTGAAGGATAAAGCTGGAGCTCAGCCAGTCCAGCAGGGCGCTGGCAAAAAGGTGGTTCCACAGCTTGGTTTCTCGGGTGGAGCAGAGCAGGCAGACAGGCCTGGGCTCTGATGTCCTAATGCCACCACTCAAATTCACTGCTCCCAAGTCGATTTTGACCCATAGCGACCCAAGGTTTCCGAGCCTGTAAATCCTCATGGGCGAAGACAGCCTCATCTTTTCCCTGTGGAGCAGCTGGTAGTTTTGAACTACCAACCTTTCTTTTGGTTAGCAGTCAGATACCTAATCTCACAGTGCCACCAGAGCTGCTCACTCCACCACTTAGATGCGCAGAACCGCCAGTAAGTTCCTTCACTCCTCTGGACCACAGCTTGCTCTGAGTGAATGCGGAGGAGACAGACATGCCTGCCTCACACACTTGCTGTGAGGATGCCCTGAGCGAGCCCGTGTGAACTTGGTGTGTGAACAGCAGTGTTGCCCCGCATGCATATACTTCCAGTCTGGACGGGACATAAGTGATCCAACAAAGTTCACAAAAGAAGGTTAGGGAGTCAGTAACTGTGACCCCTAGGAGCTTGGTGAGAGCACTGTTTAAACCCATGAAACCGCTCTCCCTCCGCTGGTGGCAGCCTTGGTTTCCTAGAAGGGCATAGGCTTTGAGGTTTGACTACCCAAAGGCCCTGAAGTGAAGACAACACAGGAACGGAAGTGAACTGGAGGCAGCCCAGGATGTCAGCTTCCAAAGGGAAGGGGGCCCTGAGAGTGTGCCACTTTGAGTCTCTTAGGGACACGGGCCTGCTGAGATAGGTAGCTGGGTGCAGTGGTGCAGACATGTCCTGTATCACGTCAGCCACCCCACCAGAGGGTAGGTGGTAGCTGGACTCGATCCCATGTTCTATTTGCTTATCTGAGTGGAGAAAGTGTGCCTCTGTACAATTCTCATACTGGAGCCCCCGCTGCACACTCCTAACAGAGATAGGACAGGTTGGCCCAGACCTTTGGTGGCATTAAGGAAGCCATCAGCCAGGCTGAAGAGGGTACCACAAGAGTCCAGTCCTCACCACTAACCTCTTTGGGACCCGTCTGATCTCCCAGCAAATCTCCAAGAGAGGCAGCTCCTTTCCAGACCGCGGAAGGGAGTGCAGTTTGGCCAAACACACCTGCAGTCACCACTGAGGCAAGCCTTGAACCCAGGACTTGGACCCTTCCCCTCTCACACCACACTTCCCTCCTAGACATAGGTATTGCCAACTCACCTGGCCCCTGCTTCAGTCTCCCTTGGGGAAACATCAGTGGAATGAACCAGGGAGACAGAGAAAAAAAAAAAGCAAATGTGCTTTGTCTTCCAGGAGCCCAGGTACAGCGGGACAGAGCCACTCTTTCTGACCCAACAGCTTCCCTAGGGAAGGACCTGCCTGCCCCACCCCCCTGCCAATCTCCACCCAGGTCAGGACACCCCGCTGTCGCCGTGCACCCCGGTACCAAATGTATGCCATGAACCGCAGTTCATGTCCCAGATCCCTGATCGCTACCCTTCCCTGAGCAAGCCCAAGGTGGAAGGGGATCAGGTGGGCGTTATAGCCTGGGGGAAGGAAATGGCTGTTCCCAGCTCTGTCCAGGTGGGGCTCATAAGAGTCATCATCAGAGGAAAAAAACCAAAAAACTGGGACACAGAGGCGGCGGGCACTGGAGAGGGAGAGGGTGCCGACCGAGAGCCCCGGAACCGCCCTCGGAGAGCAAGCCCCTCTCCGCCACCAGCCCCTTCTCACGTCCCCGAGCTCCCATC